GGCTCGCGCGCTGCTGTTTGTGCGATGGAGCGGCGGGAGCGCGCGGTGGCGAGGCAGGCGGTCGTCTGCGCTCAGGGGAGGCCGTGATGGTGTGGAACGCATGCGCGGTGGCGCTGCTGTGGCAGCGGCCGGCCACTGCTGCGAGCTGCAGAGATGAGGGCGCCTAGATCTAGGCTGCGCGTTTCTGCCCCAACCCACCCGTCCCCCTCCTTCCACCCCTCCCGACCGCCGTCGGTGGTAGCCGCTGGGCGGGTGAGCACGTGCGCGGCAGTCCTTGACGGCTGATGCTCTGTTGTGCCCCGGCGGTTCCTGGCGGTGGAGGCTGCGGGCCGGCGCGGCGGCGGCGCGGTGCAGGTGGCTGTTGTCGCCTGCTCGTCGCGCTCCCGGCGGTGGCCGGCCTGCTGGCGCTGCGCCGGTCGGTGCTTCTCCTGCGACTACAACGTTCCTAGGCATCCCTCCATGTGTGCTGGTCTTCTCCGGCGTTCTTCTCCAAGTCCGGTCTGCCATTGCATCTGAGGTCCCTGTTCATGGGTCGGGGCGAAATCCCCGCGCGGCGACGGCCTGCGCTGTCAACGGCGACGCCCGAGGGTGCCGTCACCTCCTTGGAGGCGTTGGCATGACCCTGACCAGATCTCCTCCTCGAGCACCGGGAGAAATCCCAGGTCCGGCCTCCCGGACCGGGCAGCGGCGGCGTCTCAGCGCCGTTCCCTTCTTGTAGGCGCTGCTTTGGCTGCAAGTGGAGTTTGATGCGGCAGATGGAGGCTGGTGATGCATCGCTCTGGCGTAGACTGCTACACAGGGAGCGGATCGCAATGTATGCCAGCGCCCGCGCTTCTCCAACGGTTGCTACACCAGTTCCTGTTGAGCCCTGCCCTTCACCCGCCGACTCTCTAGGCACATGGGTGAGAGGTACGTTGGCCTGGGCAGTCCTGGAGCTGCAATCGTCCCTGGAGCTGTCTGGCAATGGCAGTGACGCTGCCCTGCTGGATGAGGCCTAATGTCGTTGCGTGTCTATAGTTGAGGGCACCTCCTCACCTAGTTGTAGTCGCTTGGTGAGGACGGTCGTGTATTTGTGTGTGTGTGTGTGTGTGTGTGTGTCCCTCCTTTCTGGAGGTTGTACCCCTGATGTCTTCCTGTTCAATGAAATGAAACGCAAAGTCTCTTGCGTTTTCTCGAAAAAACTCAATGCATCTATTTACTACATAAGCAGTACTACCTCCATAACTTAATATTAGACGTTTTTGCAGTTCACTTTGAACTGCAAAAGCGTCTCATATTAAGTTATAGAGGTAGTACAACTATTTAGTCGTGTTTAGTTGACGTCTTTTAAGTTCCAATGTACATAATAGATGTGATGCGACTAATTATCATGTCTTTATTTTGTGATACCACTGTTCATCTGTGGTTATTTTCTGCAGCAACTCTAGCAGAGTTGCCATATTGGTAGACTTCACATGCACAAGATAGGAAGTGCTGCCCACCACACCTCATTAGCTACCTGGTAGTGAACAATATACATGCCCAGGTTGAAATGCAAAGCAAATAAAGAAGTTGAATTGACTATAGACTGTATACAGTTAGTAGTGATGATCATCACAATGCACAAGGTTTCATATACATGTTAATGGTATATTTGGTAGAAAATGTAGCGGGAAACTACCAAGAGCATCAAAATTGCGGTGGCGCACCCTCCCCCCTGCCCTAGCCATACTTTCATCAACATAAAAGAAGGTGTTGATATGAATTTGGTTAAATATATAGCTTTGTTGCACACAAAAAAATCAAACATATAAATACTAAATAACCGAGCAGCCATCAAGCAAAAGCAACAAAACATCCCTAATATAATACGGCTATGTATGAGTCTTCATGCTATACATAGAGCACTTGTTTATTTAGAGGTAATATTCATCTAGGCAGCTCACACCCTTGTCATCAATAACGTCCTCTGATGAAAAATACCTTGGTAACCCTTCATCATCAGAAAAGTCGAATTCAGCGTCATGGGGATAAATGTCCATGGTTAGCACATCTTTCCCCCCTCCTTTTTTGCGGAAAAACTTCTGATCTATTGATCAACGGTCAAGATAGTACAAATAACACTAGAAATAAAAATTACATCTGGGTCCGTAGGCCACCCAGCGACGACTACAAGCACTGTAGTGAGCCGAAGGCCCACCGCCGTCATCGCGCCTCCCTCATCGGAGCTAGGTAAACCTTACTATAGTAGACAATCAGGAAATCGTTGTGATAAGGCTTTATAGGACCAATGCACCATAACAACAACCGCCACCGCTGAAAAGAAGCATAAATCGGAAGGATTCAAACTGTAGAAATAGGACCATAGATGAACGAAGACAAACTGTTCGTGCAATGATTTGCCTCCTTATGAGATTGTTGTCGGAAATAGTGTGAGACTAATGTGTTTGCTAGTGCACAAAGAGTGACAAGTCTGTGAAGTCATGTGGAGTTTGGTACAAACTCCGGAGATAATCTCGTGCATAGCAGCGAAGACTATCACCGAAGATTATGCCTATCGAGAGTGACCTCTCAATTGTTGACGTGAAGCAATTGGTTCGGTGCTTGTCCGAAGAAATTGACTGCACCGAGAGGATAGACGTAGTATGTGTTTCATAGTTCTTCTTTCACTTTCTTGAGTCACAGGACTACCATACTATTAAGAGGGGTATAATGTTTGAAGCGTATGGTTCTTTGATGCTAAACCCAAATCCTAAGTGAGACGAGAGAAATCTCTATGTTCTGAATAAATACTCATCAGTAAGAGACGAAGTTCTTCTCCACTGTGAGAGATTTGATTCGGACTGAGGAGTTAGCATTTCTTGCTCCGCCTGTCCGCCAGTAATGTTACCGTTGTGCTAAAAAATCCGACCATTTGATATGTGTCAGTTGGACATTTTCTGAGGGTTCATGTCCAAAATGGTCTTTTCCCATCGGGAAGACCGCGCCTATAAATAGCCCACCCCATCCAACATTGTTCGTTGACTGCTCCGTGAGATTCCGAGAAGATTAAATGATCACCTTCTCTCCTGAGTGATTTGAGTTTAAAATCCACCAAGAGAAAAACCCTAGAGCCGAAAAATTAGATAGTGGTTTAGCACCACTCGAATCTAAGTCCAGTACACTCCGCCTATTACTCTTGAGAGCTGCAAAGTCTCTAAAGGGTTAGGTGTCAAGTTATTCAGTGACCAAGAGTGATTGTGGTTCGTGATGAAGAAGTCTGTAAAGGTTCGGAGATCACCTCAAGCATCTAGCACGAGTGATCGACACTAATTGATGAATCAATTGTCGAGGAGAATAGCGCGAAGAGAGTTTATCTTATGTGTTCAATCACTACCCGTCCAACTAGACATAGTCCTTTTGTAGAAGGGCGAACTGGTCTACCAAATCCTCTGTCGCCGTCGAGCATCACTGGTTACCTTCACACTATATTTACATTTAGTACATAATGTATGTTAACTTTCGACCATGTGATTCGTGTCGATGTGTGCTTTAGTTTTCACTCGCTAGTTTTTGTTTGATCACTATACTCTGTTTATATTCGCTCCGCTATAAGGTTTCGAGAGATTTGAATTTTTCAAAAGAAATTTTAAATCTCCCATTCGCCTCCTCTGGTAGAAATACTTCATTCCTACAATTAGTATCAGAGCCAGGTTCTCCTTGTCTCTGCTTATTAAGTTCAAACCACCTTGGAGTTTAAGTATGTCTTTAGTGAGCTACAAGTTGCATCTCAAGATCCCCGTCTTCGATGGGACGGACTATCTGTGACGCCCCAAGACCGGAGTTTCAGATGCCTTCTAGGGTTTCCGGGTTCCGCCGTGTTTGGTTCTTTGCATTCATCATTTCATCATGTGCATTGCATCATGTCATCATGCCATCATATCATTAATCTTATAACTTTATAAATAATTTGTGTGGATCTTCGATCCATTTAAATTGAGAGAAGAGTGACTTCTCTTTATAACTTTATACTCCTAATATTTAGGGAGCTATTATAAATATTCTATTAACTTGGAATCACCCATGAACACACTTGCAAATAATCACATGCCTTTTCTCGCTTCAAGTTTGGTCCCCAAACTTTGCTTTTTATTCTTTCTCCATTTTTCCGGAGCTCCACCAAAAATCTGAACATTTTTGGACCTTCCTAACCCTCACTTCCTATTCAAAACATTTGATTTTAAATCAAATGAGTTTGAATTTAAAACTTTCAAAAATGCCCACTCCATTTTTCTTGGAACATGCACATTTTTGCGAGTCCGTGTAAATTATCCCCATGCCCAGATTCCATCCCTAACTTCTCTTTCTTTTCTTTCTCTTTTTCTGTTTTGTTTTTATATGGAAAAGGAGAATTTAGAGAAAGAGAGAGAGGGAGAGAAAACCTGCAGCCCAGTCGGCCTCAGAGCCCAGCCAGGCAGGCCCATCTGCGCCTAGGCGCCTCCCTCTCCACTGGGCCTCCCAAGGCCTCCCGCAGGCCCAGTCAAACCTACCCTCCTAACCCTAGCCGCTCGCACGGGCGCTCGCCCGAGGCATTTCCTAAACG